GAGAGAGAGAGAGAGAGAGAGAGGTCTGATGTTATAATTCAGTGTCCTGAGGGTACTTGACTGACCTTGTCAGATACAAAAGTTACATTTCTTGTTATATAGGTCTTGCTTTATCTTGGTTTTAACCATCCAGCAGAAAAGTATAAAAATGAGGTATATAAAGTAAAGCCATGTTAATATGTTGAGCTGTGAAAGGCTCAGATCAACAACTGTGGATAACCCACTACTATTGTGGACTGCTGGACTGTGTTGGATTGTTTTGCTGAGTTCACGTACCTGTACTATTTAGATGCTAATGGAATACCCATCTCTGACAGAACTAAACAAAAAAAGGGGATACAAAGGAAGAACCATTTTGTATTTGTATATACAGAATAGTTAGGATAGATATACAGCTACTTTTGCTTAATTCAATGAGAAGAAAGATTTGTATTAATAGTGTTTGGACAGGATATGCTGTCTGCTGTTTGTACTGTGGATAACCACTAAGAAGATAACAATGTACAAGGTATTAGTTATTAAAACTGTCCTATTAATCAGCTTTGAAACTGTCTCATTGATACTTGTTTCTCAACAAAATAAAATTAAATTAAAAAAGAACGAAACAAAAAAACTCAGTAGGCTCTAAAAAAAAAGATATAATTATTCAGTGTAAAGATTCTGAATTCAATCCTCAGTACCACAAAAAAAAAAAAAAAAAAAAAGGTTGTGGTGACAACTCTTATCTGTGTTAAAAATTTATCACATTGTTTATTTGCTTTTTTAAAAAAAATTCTTTATTGAGGTAACAGGTTGGTTATGTTCACTGCATTGTATGAAACATCACAATATCATACTGGAAAAGTACTGTCAGTACAGGGTGGGATCATAGTGGACAACAGGAACAATAAACCATTTCTGCATTCTTCATTCCCTGTCTTTTAACAAAGCCCCAAACCCAGTCAAGGGACAAGTAGCTGATAAAAGCATCATGTAAAGCATTTTAACTTACAAAGCTAAAATCTAAAGAATAAATAAAATATATTGTGGCAGTAATTCCTTTGAGACCAAAAAAATCAGTTATACCACAGATCAAGTGATCAGGACAGCTGTCTGTATCCAAACGTGCGGCTCTCCAGAAAGTCTCAGGAATGTGTTACAGCAAAGACCGTGAATTCCATTTGATACAGGACCAGATGGTGACTCATCTGAACTACACACAGAGGCAGTTACAAATTACTGAAACACAATTTAAACATCTACGAAAAAGTTCACAAAAGCATCCACAACATGTAAACCATGTATAAATGGATACATTCATGACTTCTCCTACCCCAGTATCTTCTTTTAGGTACTTTACTCTTCATGTTCAGCATTAGTTGGATTTAATACATGCAAAACTTAGAAGAATTTAAGAATTCAAGGTTACTGTAAAAATAGAGTTAAACTAAATAATCTTCAAGTAACTGTGTCACAACCAGTCTGTACCTTGCCCAGTGTTATAAAATGAAAGGTTACTGAACCCATGAAAGTATCTCTGTAATATTTCCTTAGATCTAAAATAGATAATTTTAAAAGTATAGTAGTTTCAAAGTGATATTCTGAGCTTTTAAAATAACAGTTAAAAATTATACCAAATTACAGAAACTTGTTGTATCTCAAAAACTGAAAAAATTAGAAGTATAGAAACCCACATGTAAAATTAAAAAATCCACAATTTACATTATCAAGGCAAATATCATTTAAAAGAATTTACAGCAATGAGATGTCAAAGCAGACTATAAATAGGCATAAATTAATCCATTTGGTTTCAAAAGATTTTTCTAGTAAAAATTGAAGGATGCATGCATAAAATTTGTAAAGGCTTATAATATTATTGCCAAATACACTTTATCATGAAGCAAGGCAATACAATTTGGACATTGTCGGAGAACCCTGTTTGGTAACACAGGTAAAATTGGAAAAAAAAGTTAAATAACAATAAATACATATCCTATAGTAAATTGCTCAAAGGAAATTTCAAGCTACAGAACTGCAGTTGGTTTCCAACTCTGTGAATCAAAAAAGGAACATCTCATAAAATTCTTTACTCTTAAATGCTTATATGTTGTGTGCTCTGTTTTTAAAAAGCCATAATGTATCTTCAGAGCTTATTTGCTTTTAATACATTAAAGAAAAATGAGGGTTTTAAACTTTGGTTGGATAGATTGGAGTAACTTGGTGGCTATTGCAGCTTAGGAACCTGAGATAACGTATGTTTCAGTTAGGACTAGTTTATTTTTAGAATCTTCTGCTCTTGTCCCTTTCTATTCTAAGAATACTATGGTTGGATTTTACAGAGTAGCAGAGCTCTTGAGGGAGAAAAGTGATAAGAGGGAGGGAACACAAGTGTAAACTGAATTCCTGTGGAGTTCCTTGTTGCAGAAGCAATTCTACTTTTCTGTGTGTGTGTGTGTGTGTGTGTGTGTGTGTGTGTGTGTGTGTGTGTATTGCTGGGCTTTGAACCTAGGAGGGTTCAGTGGTTGAGTTTTTGGATAGTGTGTATGAGGCATTGGGTTTCATTCCTAGTACCACCAAAAATAGTTATTAATTTTATGTGAAATTAATGTTAAGAAAAATTTTTCTAAGCCATGCATGGTCGTGCATCTTGCTCTGGGAGGCTCAGAAGTTCAAGACCAGCTTTGGTTATTTTGACTTGGAGAAACCCTATTTAAAAAAAAAAAAAAAAAAAAAAAGAACAGTACCTTTATATGTTGAATTGTATATACCAATAACTTTAAGTGTTTTGAGAACTATATTTTTCTAGAGGATTTTAGCGTTGCCCTCTCCCCCATGCTTGTTCTGCAGAATCTCAGTTCTGTCTCTGGCAAATGTGTTTTTGTTTGTTTGTTTCCAGTTCAGAGCATCAAAGCTAGGTACACTCTCCAGTCCTCTTTTTTTTTTTTTTTTTTTTGAGATTATGTCTTGCTGAAATGTCTAGGTAGTATTCAAAGTGATCCTTGTGTCTCGGTGCTGAGATTATAGGTGTGAGCAACTGTCCCCGCTCAGCTCTCAGGCTTTCTTTCTTTACCTCACTTCCCCTCCCCTCTCCTGACTCACTCCCCTCCTCTTCCCTTGTCATTGTTTTGAGATGGGGATTGCATTTTGCTGCTGAGGCTGGCTAGGTACTCTTGTGCTTACATGATTCTTCTACTTGGCCATCCTAAGTAGTTGTAACTATAGGTGTGCCATCTTCTGGGGTCTCAGTTATTTTGCTGGACATATGTACAGTTGATTTTGTCTCTTTGGAAGGTTATTGTTTACAGGTGTTTTTTTCTCTTAGGTACAGCTTGTTCCCTTGTAAGTATATAGCTCCTCTGCAGATTGAATGCAGGGCGCTCTGCTACTTAGCTACACCTCAGCTGAATAATACCTTGTTTCTTAATATCACATTTTCATTTGTTTTGTTTTGAGACAAGGTCTTGGTGTGTACTTCAGGCTGATCTTGAACTCCCACTCAGGGTAGCCTCAGTGCCACAGTTGACATCACATTTTGGTAGTTTTTTTTTTTTTTTTTAACTGGGGATCAAACTCAGGACCTTGAGCTCACGAGGCAGGTGTTTATGCTGCTATGCTATCTCCCTGGCTTGGACATCATGTTTTTAATTTGGTCATTGGCAGGTAAAATCTTGGTTGGATACAGTAATGTGTCCACCTGCAAACAGAAGAGCAGATAGAATTAATTGTAACTGTAATTGTAAAATGTAATTTTAAAATGAGTACTAGTTAAAATTAGTGATGCATGAGGGTTTGTTTAGAATTACTAAGATCATAAATGTTTATTACTAAAATTAGTTGAAAAGCTACTAATACCTGGAGGTGTAAAATGTGTTGAGCATACGTGAGGCTCCAGATTTGATACTTAGCACTCCTACTCCTTAAAGAGAAATAATAATAAGGAAAGAATTACTGTAAGCAAAATCTCTTAACTCCAAAGAGCAAACTCTTGAAAAATTGTATCCAGAGAGCTTTGATGTTTTATTTTATGTGTCCTTTTTTCCTGAGTTACATGTTTGCCTTGTCCTCATTTGGAAGTCTTGCTTATTATATCTACTCTCTTGCAGATTTTCTATTTTGTACATACATTTTGTATATACTATATATGATGACTTCATTGAGCAATGACCGTTGCTGTGGTACTCGGGAAAAAACACAGATTTCAGCAATACAGGCAACACAACCACAGAAACAAGTGGTTCAGGTAAGTACTTACGGAAGTTTTGTTTTGTTCAGAATTAAGGAAATTAGAGCATTGATTTCTTTTTTGTTTGTTTTTAATAGGAAACCAGGGTTTTGAACTGTATATTTAAAAAGTAAGTAGTAACTAATAGGGAAGAAGTCATATTGTTGAATCTAGGTACATTTGGATGTGTTTCATGAGAACAATTTAATCCTGAATCCAGCTACATGTCAGCACATAGGGTGTCTCCTTCCTGTTTTTGTTCCTCCCTGTCTCCTTTCTTTGGTGCTTTGGTTTGAGCCCAGGGTTTTTTTATGCTAGTTAAATGTACTATCATGAAACTACACTCCCAAGCTTTTATTACTCATTTGAATGAATTTAGACATTTCAAGTAAATCACTGAGCACAGTATCTGGTACAGAGTTAACATTATATAATCTGTTGACTAGACTGGCAAACCTTTTTTCAAAGATTGTATGCCAGTAGGTCAATAAGCCTTATATGATCTATCCTAATTTCAGAGTTTTGCTTTGACTATATATTCAGAATTAAGTACAAATTTGTTTTTGTTCTGCGGTAGTGGGGACTAAACCCATGGTCGTATACCTGAGCATGCTTTACCACTAAGCTACTTTCCTGGCTCTTACAAGTATGTTTGTTTGTTTGTTTGTTTATTTTTGGTGGGTCTAGGGATTAAACTGAAGGTTTTGTACTAAGCCTCCTCTTCCCTTGTGTTTTGCTGTTTATTTAGAGACAAGGTTTCACTAAATTGCTCAATTTCCCAAGCTGGGCTTAAATTTTATTTTTTTTCTGTCGCAGGAGTGTTGGGTTACCAGTGGATGTGTTAGTTATATTTTTGAGACAGGGTTTTGGTATGTAGTCCAGGCTGGCCTTGAACTCACTGTGTAGCCCAGGCTTGCCTAGAATTTATAGCAATCCTCCTGAATGCTGGGATTATAGGCATGTGCCAGTACACCTGGCATTTGACAGTGCTTTTTACAAGTGTTTCTATCCCCAGATCCTCAGGCCTTACCAGACCTGCCCTTAAGGCAGACTGAGCCAGCCACCCCCTCCCCCCCCCAAAAAAAAAGAATTTCTAACAGTGTTCTATTTTCTTAAGGGGCACAATGCATGTATAGATTGCTTAATTGTCACATTAAATCTAAAAAAGGTCAGCTAGTTACTAGCATCAATAGACATTTCTGCTGTCAGGGATTGCTCCTAAATACTTTCACTTTGATAGATATTTATTCACAAACCGATGGAAGAAAAATTTTGGTTTTTTGGGGGCTAGATTATCCCTTTTAAAATGAGTATTTGACAGAGTTTATTTTATGAGTGATCTGTTATCAAAGAAATATTCCACTGTGTGGCTATAAAGGAAGAAGAAAAGAAGCCTCATCTCTTTCTGTGAGCTACAGGACATATGTGTTACAGGGAAGAAAACCATGGGCTCAATACTCCTCCTCTGCTTCTTTGACTCCTGACTGCTTATATCTTTGAGTTTGTCATTACTGTTATTATTTTACACATGTGTACGCCACCATGCCTGGCTATCTTTCAGTTCTTCATAACGTTTAATACTGACAAACTTAAGTGTTTAAATTAAACTGATCCATTATGTTGGTTGACTCACCACAGATCTTTGAATGGTTTCTATAATTTCTTCTGAAATGAGGAAAAAAAAAAAAATTATGTGTCCCTGCAACATTCTCCTTTCCCCCAGCTTGGCCTTCCCTGGGGGCAGGGCTAGCACAGCTTGTGGTGCCAGGGATTGAACTGCAGTCCCTGAGTACTTGCCTAAGCAGGCGCTTTAGACTGCTGAGCTATCTCACTGTCCCCAAACAACATCTCTTTAAGATACCATCTCTGGGGGCTGGGGAGATAGCTCAGTAGAATAAGCGCTTGCCTGACAGGCACAAAGGCCTGAGTTTGATCCCTGGTTCCACAAAAAAACAAACAAACAGAACAAAACAAAACAAAGATACCATCTCTTTTGCTGGGTGTAATGATGTGTGCCTGTAATCCCAGCACTTAGGAAGCTAAAGTAGAAGGATCAATACAAGTATGAGGTTAGTCTAGGCTAACCTCAATTACTTAGTGGGTTCCTATCATAAAATGACAAAAGTAAGCAAATAAGAAAACAAAGAAATACTAAAGTTAGAAGTAATCAGAGTAATGAGAACTACAGGCTGGGCATGATGATGTACACCTGTTGTCCTAGAATTTGGGAGGTTGAGACAGGAGGATTGCTGCAGTTCAGGCTAGCCTGGGCTACATAATGAGCTCAAGGCCAGCCTGAATGATGTATAGCAAGAGTCTGTCTTAAAAAAAGTACAACTCATTTAAAAAATAATAAAAGCAAGCTGAGTGTGGTGGCATGTCTGTCATCCCAGTACTTGACAGGCTAAGAAGATTTGCAAGAATTTTTGGTCAGCCTGGGTTCTATAGTGAGTTCAAGACAAGCCTGTACTACAATAGTGAGACCCTGTCCTAAAAAAGAAACCAAAAACCCAAACAAAAACACAACAGTCATTATATTCTTTTCTTTATCAGATCAGTAAAAGTAAAATGTTTTCTTTAGAAGGAAAGCCAAATGAAATGTTGGGAATGTAAATTACATCACCTTTCTTCCCACCCTAGGAAAATTTTTGTGTTAATTTCCAAAGAATCGGTCTCTTAATTGGAAGAGAGGTAGCATTCCCTACCTCTGAAAGAGTTTTCAGTAACACTGTACTGTAGTTTTTCCCCGGGTCCTTTTGTGAGATGGCTCTGTTGAGCATCATTGGGAAGGATTCTTAGGGGTATGTGTGTGTGTCTGTATGTTTGTATGTGTGTGTTTTGAGACAAGTGTTTGCTAGTTTGAGCTGGCCTTGAGCTCACTAAGTAGCTCAGGTGGACCTCAAACTTGCTGTGGTCCTGGTGCCTCAGTGGTGGGATTACAGGCATGCACTACTGTACTTGTTTTATTTTTTTTATTTTTATTTTTTTGTGTGCAGGGTTTCACTATCCAGCTGGGACTCGTAGTGATTCTCCTGTTTTCAGCTTCCCTAGTACTGGGATTACAGGCGTGTGCCACCATGCCCAGACTCCATTGCTGGCTCAGCACACCTGGGGACAGACCTCACACAATACTAGAAATAGAAACCTGGCCCCTGCTCTTACCTAAGCAAGCCCTTAGTCCCCTGAGCTATCTCGCTGGCTGTGGCTTATTGTTTTTGAGATAGGATCTTGTTGTGTTGCCGAGGCTGGCATTGAATTCTTTGGCTACAGTCAGGTTATCACGTTTTTAACATTCCTTTTTATAAAAGTATTTTGAAAAATACTCAAGAACAATCTTATGTATTGGAGAACTTTTTTGTGTGTGTGCGTTCAGGTTTTCACTACACAGCTCGGACTCATAGTGATCCCTGATTTCTGCCTCTCGAGTGCTGGGATTATAGGTGTGCACCACCATGCCTGCGCTCCATTGCTGGCTCAGCGTGCCAGGGGTTGGGGCCGGCACCTGCATGGCATGCTGTGCCAGGGATCAAACTCTGGCTCCTGCACTTACCTAAGCAAGCATTTAGTCCACTGAGCTATATTGCTGGTGTAGCTCAGTGGTAGGCCTTTTGGATAGCACGCATGAGGTCCTGTGCTCAATCTCCATGACCATTTTATTTATTTTTTATTTTATTTTATTTATGTATATAGTACAGGGTGTACAAGGTCTCACTACACAGATCGTAGTGATCCTCCTGTTTTCAGAGGTAGTGATCCCAAGAGCTGGGATTACAGGCTCGTGCCATCATGCCCAGTCTCACCCAGGGGCAGGGATGAACCCTGGTCCCTGCCTCTGCGTAGGAAGGTGCTTTAGTCCACTGAGTGATCTGGCCGACCCTTCCACAACCATTAAAAAAAAAATTTTTTTTTAATTGGGAGTTGAACTGAGAACCTTGCACTTGCCAGGTGGTTGAATTGAGAACCTTGCACTATGCTGCTGAGCTGTACCTCAGCCCCTCCATGACCATTTTAAAAAAGGAAATTTAAAAAAAAAATGTTTATTTTTTCATTAATCCCATTCCTATTTTGGGAGGTATCTTTTTTTTCTGGAGAAACTGGAGATTGAACTCAGGTTCGTTTGTTTGTTCGTTCGTTTTCTTTCTTTCTTTCTTTCCTTCCTTTCTTTCTCTTTCTTTCTTTGGCGGAACTGGGGATTGAACTCAGGCCCTTGTGCTTGCCAGGCAAGCACTTATTCTACTGAGTTAGCTCCTTGGCCCTGGGGATTGAACTCAGGCCCTTGTGCTACTGAGACATCTCTCCGGCTGGGAGGTATCTTCTAAGGAAGTAATCTTAAATTGGGAACAAAGTAGCTTCATTGGGTAAGATGTTGAAGCCTACTTCTAAATGTCTGGTGGTAGAGCTGTTTTGAGATGACATGTCCAGGTTGTGTGCTGAGTCTGTTTATCTGTGTCCCCCATAGCCTCCTACCCCAATTGCCTAGAAATTGAATTTCCAGGGCCTTGTCCATACCAGGAAGAATTCTACCACTGAGCTATAGACCCAGGCTTTTTTTGTTTTTAAATTTTGATTCAGGGTGTTGCCAAGTTGTCTAGGCAGGTCTCTAGTTTAGGATCCTTCTGCTTTAACTGCCCTAGCATTTGGCCTTACAGATGTGCATCACTTTGTCTGGTTAGGATAGCCCTTTTGAATTGGGTCTACCAGTTTACTAACTAGACAAGTTACTCAACTCTCCTAGAATCTGTTTTTCTTCGATCTCCAGCACCACATGTTATGCTGGCCATGTCCCCCGGGTGCACTGAACTGGCCACTGAGATCAGGTGTGGTGACGAACACTTTTAATCCCAGCGCTGGGGAGGTGAGGCTGAGCTGTGTAGTGAGACCCTGTACCAAACACATTAATAAATAAATAAATAGAATCTTAGTTTTGCAAATAAAATTTCTTTTTTTTTTTGTTCCTCGAATGCCTTCAGGGCACTTTTGGCCAGCTGGAGAGGTGTGAGGTTCGAACTCCAGCAACCTGAGGCTGACAGCTTTGTGGAAGCAGCCACTTAAAGGCCTGAGCTAGGGCCAGGCCCCCAAAATGGCAGAAGTGTTTTGTTTTTTTTTTTTGCTCGGAATGCCTTCAAGGCATGACTGGCTGTCTTGTGTTGTGGGGATCGAACCAAAGCAACCTGAGCCTGACTGCTTTGTTGAAGCAGCCACTTAAAGAACTGAGCTACGGGGCAGGCCCACCTCAAATAAAATTTCTAGGCTCTTGAAATTTTCATAGTATAGTTCATAAATACCCTTCTTCCAGATCCCTTAATGTTAATATTTCTACCTGTATACTTCAGTGTATATTATTTTATTTTATTTATTTATTCTTTAAAAATTGGATACAGGTTTTCTTACTACACAGTTCACTCATAGTGATCGTCCCATCTTAGCCTTTCCAGTGCTGGGATGACAGGTGTGTGCCACCACGCCTGGTTTTTTGGCCAACTTGGTGAGCCTGGGATTCTGGAGCCAGTATAGTATGCAGTACTGGGGATCAAATTTGGGTCCTTGTACTTGTCAGGCAGGCACTTAGACTGCTATCTTCCCAGCCCTATTTCAGTGTATATTGAAAGGAAGATCATTTACAAAACCACAATATAATCATCCCCAAATCAGAAAGTCAATTCTTTATCTGGACATAAAAAAATTTCTTCTTTTTTTAATTTTATTGAGAAACAGCAGTGAGACAGTTTCAAAGCATGTTAGTAGGACAGTTTTAATAATTAATACATTGCATATTTTTTCTTCGTAAAAATTTCGTTTACATTTATTCAGATTGTCTCAATAATGTCCATTTTAGGAATGAAGTTTGAGATAGTGTCTTACTATGTAACTCAGGCTGGCTTCATGCAGCAGGCCTTTGGTTTCAGCCTCCTGAGTGCTGGGATTATAGGTGTGTGCTGTGATAGGTGGCTTTAGCTAAATCCTGATCATGCTGTCTCTTTCCTTTTGTTTGGTCCTGGGAACTGAACTCACAATGACATGAAAATAGTAGAATATAGAACAGTTGCTTTGTGTAGTGTCTTCCAATTTGGGTTTATCTGATACCGTCTCATGGTTGGAATTAAACTATACATTAGAAATGTGTGTGTGCGCGCGCACACATGCGCACGCGTGTTTCTGTATATACCTACCTTTGTATTGACCTACGTCTCCATCCCTTTTATTTTTTTAATTTTGTACTTTGAGAGAGTCTTGTTGAGTCACTGAATTTGTTTCATATATGATCAATTTTATTGTTTTGAGAGAGGGTCTCACTCTGTAGTTTGGGCTAGCCTTGTGCTAACTTTGTGTAGCCCCTGAACTGATCTCCAACTCCAGGCGACCCTCCTGTCTCAAGTGCTGGGATTATAGGCATGTGACACTGTGCCTAGTTCCAGATGAATGATTAATTTTATCATTGGGTTTTAAGTAGTGTTTTGCTGGTATCTTAAAGGATGTATAGACTTTTTAAAAAATATAAAATGGAAAAAAAATAAAATGGATTATGATATTTACTTTGTAGGATGATTGTAAGAATTAAAAGCTATACATGATAACCAGGAAGTGGTAACCTTTATTTTTATTATGTTATCATATAAATTATGAGGTGGTTTTAATATTTGAAAATTATGGCTTAAAATGTTATAGAAAATATGTTGTTTCTGTTCAAATGGGAAGAGACCCCAAGTTAGAACAAGATTATTGAACAATTAAATAAAAATGCTAATAGATTGTGTTCATGTTTATTTTTGATGGTGGGCATAAGGATGGTTTAGAAAAAGTGACCCTATGTTATATTTTCCTAATTTCTGTCTGACAGATCAAAAAAAATTCAACTCAGTAGAAAAGCTATTAGCACATTTTATTGTGAAAGCAAGTTAGCATTTTTATGTTATGTGAATGGATGAGCAATCTAGAGAAAGACAGTTATGCTGATGTTCTTGGCCAAACTTTCCTTCATTTTGAGAATTGGCCTGGTAGATTTCAGTAATGGGGTGGGTACACTAACCTTGTTTAACTTAGAATTACCGGTTGACCCTGCTTTTTCCTCTTTTTTTTCCCCAAGCTGTACAGACCTCTTGATACTTCTAGAGCTCAGCCTGGTAACTTCCCTATTATACTCTTAATTTATGTTTGGTGCTTTGTATACCCAATATTTATTGAATTGTTTGTTAAGTATATAATTTTCTTCTCAACTAAGGTATGTAGGGTATATTATAAAGATAAAAATAATTCAATGTCCTGATTAAAATTTGGTATTTTCTTAATATGCTAGTGCTAGTGTTGCAATACTGTGCTTGTTTACAGCTGTTAAATGTTATCAGCTATACTTTCTGAGGTTTAGTGTGTACTCAGTGAGGAATAAAACATGATATCACTTAAGAGAAATGCAAAGAGTATATTGTCTTGAGTTACAATACTTCAGCTGAAAAAGCTAGGTTTTTGAGTAAGTCAGTAGCTATAGAAATGTATGGGTGAAACAGTATCCAAATGAAAATCTAGGACATGTAGGGTTAGGGTGTCGTTCAGTGGTAGAGCTTTTGCTTATCATGCATTAAGGTATTCTGAAATTAAGGTGTTTTGAAATGAGGTTCTTTTGATTCAAGTGCTTTTTTGTTAACGTTTTATAAGATAGCTTAATAAGGTCAAGGAGGGCTTTTTTTTTTTTCTTTCTTTTTTAAACAGGGTCTCACTGTGCAGTCCAGCCTGCTTGGAACTCATTGTATAGCTCAGGCTGGTCTTGAACTTAGTGATTTTTCTGCCTCAGCTTCCCCAAGTGCTGAGACTGTAGGTATGTATCACCACTCCCAGCTGTTTTGTTTGTATTCATTGGGTACATTTACAAAGCTCAGGCAGTTATGAAGTTTAAATATAGATTCCTTTGGTTGAGGGTGTAACTCAGTGGGTAGAGTATTTGCCTGGCAAGTGCAAGGCTGTGAGTTTGATCTCCAGCACTGCAAAACCACCAAATATCACTTCTGTTAGAGTCAACCTTTGTTGCTATTCTCTTCCAAACTGCTGTGAGTTTTAAATACTTTTTATTGTTTGTTTTTTAGATAGGGTCTCTTTGAAGCTGGCCTTGGTTTCAGTATGTATCCTAGGCTGGTCTCAAACTCATAGTGATTGTCCTGCCTCAGCCTATGGAGTGCTAGGGTTACAGTTGGTACACCACTATATTTTTTGAGAAAGATTTCAGTCACAATGAATCCTTGGCCTTTGTCTTTTTTGTTTGTTTGTTTTAGCTGTTCTGGAGATTGAACCCAGAGCTTGGCACATGTAAGTGCTAAGTGTTTTACCACTGAGCCACATCTCCAACCTTACCTCGATCTATCTTGTACTGAACCAGGCACATTTTTAAATTAGTATTCATCCTGTAGTGAGTGAGTGAGTGATTTTCTCCAACTGATCCATAATTTCATTTTCTCAAATTTTTCTTTTGAGACAGGGTCTCGCTATACAGTTCAGGCTGGCCTTGAGCTCACTTTGTATTTATTTATTTATTTATTTATTTATTTATGTATTTTAGGGAAAGGTCTCTTCTAGATCAGACTCATAGTGATCCTCCTGTTTTCAACCTCCCCAGCGCTGGGATTATAGGTGTGCGCCATCACACCCAGTCTTGGTGGCTGGAACAGTGGACCCAGGTTGAGCTGGCGCAGCATGTGGGAGGCATGTGGTACCAGGGGTCAAACCCTGGTGCCTCCACTTGCCAAAGCAGGCACTTTGTCTGCTGAGATATCTTGCTGGCCCAGGGGACAAAATTTTAAAAACAGGAAATTTTAGGTTTTATAGCTTGATAGTGCTTCATAGATCGTTGTTTACCAGATAACTGTTGACCACATCCATGACTCTTGTAACATGTTTTTCTCGTAATTGCATGTATATTGGAAGAGTATTATTCTAATTTCTGAAATTCTTAGAATTTATCATCCATGTGTATCTCTGATTACAATTGCTTTTATACACTATTTGTTTATTTGTTCATCTCTTTGGTTGGTTTTTTCTTTATTTGGTGCAGGGTTTTGTTATGCAGCTTGGACTTCTTGTGATCCTTCTGTCTCAGCCTCCCTGGTGCAGGGATTACAGATGTGTGCCATCATGCCCAGTTTTTGGGATTGGCATGGTGTGCCTGGGGTTTCACTACTGCATGCAGTACTGGGGATACGAACTCTGGTCCTTGCACTTGCCAGGCAGGTGCTTAGGCCACTGAGATATCTCCCCAACCCAGTTTATCAGTTTTTAAGGTAACTTTACCCATTGTCATTCAAAGTTGAATAATTAATATTTTTAAATATTCTTATGAGCTTCCACATTGAGAATCCTGGTTCTCTTAAGAACTGGGAGATGGTAGAATTAGAATATCTCCAATTTACTCACTTACTGTTGTGCTTCATATATGTAACATCTAATAAAAACAATGCTAATACTACCACTATGTTCTTTCCATATTTAGCCCAAGCTCTGCCTATTCTCCAATATCCTTTTGAATTACACCGAAATGGTGCTGGTATCCTCTTCATTCCAGAGGCCTCTGTAAATGTTGGTTCATTTTTATAAAGTATCCTTGTCAGCGGCATCAGATTATAGACACTAGGTGTAATGTCTAGATTGTCACTGCTGGAGCAACAGGGTGAGCATTAATCTCTGTTTCTGTAAGAATGTTAAGAATTTGTTTGCTTGTTTATTTAGTGATTCTGAAGACTGAACCCAGAACAGGCCTTAAGTGTTACACCACTAAGCTAGACCCCAAGCCCCTGAGTTTAAAAATTTAATTTTATTCCAACTCTTAATTCAGATGGGTTGAAGTCAATTGCTAAAACAGTCTAATTGAGTAGTTTCTGAATGTTTCCAGGAAACTGCTTGGTTAAGTTTATCTGACTTTTTCACAGGAGCAAGATCACTGCACATTAAGGGCTCTGGTTTTTATCACTTACTGATGGAGGCATGTGGCACTCTGTCTGCAGTCCTGGTACACACAAGGATCTTCTAGCCACAATCCACCTCCCCTGCTTTAGTACTGGGAATTGAACCCAGGACCTTTACACTGAGCTACATCTCTTTTTACTTTTATTTTTGATGCAGTATTTCATTAAGTTGTCCAGGCTGGGCTTGAACTTTTCGTCTTCCCTCAGCCTCCCAGAATGCCATAATATAGGTATAGGCATAAGCTGCCAGGCCTGGTTCCTCAGTTTTACTTTTACAATTTGCTGCCTCATGTTTTTTTTTTTTTGTATGTTTTCACCATTGTCAGCTGTGTTTCTCAGTATTAGACATTGTTTTTGGTTAGAAAAACTCTGGAGTGAACTGCATCTTTAAACCCTTTACATTTTTTTTATTTTCAAATTCTTACTAAGTTGTTCAGATGGGGCTTCTGCCCCAGCCTCCTGAGTAGCTGGGATTACAGGTGTACACTACTATTTCCAGTTTCAATTAATGTCCTTAGGAGCATATTTTACTTGATCAAAGTTGTTCTTAATTGAAAAAGTGACAGTGTGCGAGCCAAAGCCTGGCAAAGTTCAGGATGGTGCACCTATTCCTTAAGGTAGAGGCTCTGAGATCCATATCATCTGGATTAACTCCTGGAAATGGCAGAGATTCTCCATCTTTATCCTCTGTAAATACTTGTATTATGTCTATATCATTCACCCATTATGTATTAAACTTTTTGTCATTTGGTTTTTTGTGTGTGTATGTGCTGGGAATTGAACCTTTGCCAAACAGGTGCCATGCCACTGAAATAAATCCCTGCCTTCTGCTCTTTTGTCTTTGAGACAGAGTCCTGCTATGCAGTTCAGGATAGCCTTGAGCTCACTTTGTAGCTCAGGCTGGTCTCAAACTTGCAACCATCCTCCTGCCTCAGCCTCCCAAGTGCCTGGATTATACGCATGCACCACCATGCCCAGCCCTGCCCCTCCTTTCTTTTTAAATTTGAAGGTAAAATTTTTTTTTTTTAAACTCATAGTAGTCCTCCTGCCTCAGTCTCCCGAGTGCTGGAATTACAGGCATCTACCACCATGCCTGGTTAAGTTTATATTTACCAGTAACCATCAATAATATTAAAATGGCTTTCAGAAGTTAATCACTTGTTGACTGAGGTGTGTGGTGACACATGCCTTTAATCCCAAGTTTTGTCTTTTTTTTTTTTTTGGCTGGGACAAGGTCTCACTCACTATGTAGTTTAGGCTGGCCTTGAACTTGCTTGTATAGCCCAGGCTGGCCTTCAACTCACATGAGCCTCCTCCCTCAGCCTCCTGAGTGTGGAGATTATAGGGATCCAGCAGCATACCCAGCTAATCCCAGTTTTGGGGAGGTTGAGGGAAGAGGATTGCAAGTTTGAGACCTGCCAAGATCACAGTGAGAACATGTTCTCATGCCCTACCCCATGGCTATTGTGATTTAGGAAAGGTTCACAGGACTACTGTTGCCTGACTTAATTGGTATTGATAATAGTTTATGCCCTTTATGCTTTCATTTTTAATGCATGTTGGAGGGCTGGGAGGTTGATAGCTCAAGACAGACAGAGATAAAGACATCCTGATCTAGCCAGCTATTTATTATTATGTTCTTTATACTTAAGTGTATAACTTTGTTTTAACGACTATAAATTGTTTTGTTGGCTATAAAGGCTAGGTTCACGGGGGCATTTTCTTTTTTACAGCGTACTGCCCTTGACAAGTTTTTTGATAATCTGATTTCTTTACCGTATATGTTCTTGCCATTTTTTTGTTTGCATGCCTAATGGATTCTTCCTTTGTAGTGTCCCTTTCTTTTAAACAGCATCTTAATGTAGGTTTTTATGGGTTCATATTCTCAAGTACAGTGTGTTTTCTTTCACAAATTTAAATACTTGTTTGGGAGCTTTTTCTTGAATTTTACTTTCAAGTATTTGAAGTTGGATTGTCTTTTGTCTGTCTTCAGTATTTGACTCTCCTGTTTCTTTTCTCCAATCTCCCCCTCTCCCCCAACACACACGGCACTGGGGATTAGACCCAGGGCTTTTGCACTGGGCTACATTCCTAACCTTTAAAATTCTTTGTTTTGTTTTGTTTTTCATTTTGAGATAGAGCTACGCTTGAAATTATGATCCTCCTGTCTCAGCTTC